AATGATGCAGTGTTTGTCAAAAGAGACTCAATGTGCATGGTTAAACAGGCCTTCAGGCTTTACAGTCATTCATTTGTTAAAAACACAAAATAAAAACATAAAAAGCAGAAAAGCCACAAACACATCTCTAGAAGACCCTACAGGCTTGCTATGCACCAACCAAGACTCTGATCGATGGACAGATGAATGTAGTTTTGCTTTTACCAGCTGCACAGATGATCGCTGTCTATGTGTGTCATTCTGTAACACCAACTCTATTTTGCATTCTCTCTTTCCCGGGCCATTCACTGTAGGAGGGCAGCTATGTGTATCTAGTGTGCCAGAGCCTGGGTTTTACCTTAAAGGCCACCAAGTGCTCCTGTTGAGTAAATGCCACTGCAGGATTAGAGCAGATTAAAAAGAGTGTTTTCATGCAGTGAAAGTGTGGAAAAAAATCTTAACACCTCAGCATGTTTCTGAAAGCTGGTTTTCCCTCATTAACACATTGCCACAGTGTGAAATGCAAAGGGAAACGGCCAGAAAGTTCAGGAACTCAAGTGTACGGTATAACTTGCATGCATGTCTTCATTTCTTACCTGCTGTTGCTAGCAAACAAATGACAGCTATTTGTCTACAAAAATTGCTGCGAAATACACAGAGGTGTGGCAAAGCACCACGAAGAGCTTGCTTTTCAACATGTCTCCCTTTCTCCTTTCTTTCCCTCTTTAATCATTGCCTGAAGTTCCCTACGTTCTTCTCAGTCACCTGAGCAACGAATCAGGTACCAGGTTTTTAAGTAGCTGCCAGATGACGAGGCTTTGAACTCAGTGGCCTCATAACAGTACAGTGGATGAATGTCAATGTATGCACGAAGTTCTCGAGAGAGCACTGTTTAATATTTGGAACAGCAGCTCTGGGTTGTGGATACAGTCAGCATACTGCACCCTTTGCATACTCTGATGACATTCACCTCACTCCCACTCAGCATGCCCCGAGTGTCCTAGTTTACTGCATGAGCTGCCGCTGTTGCTTCCTGTCAGTTCCATTGGATTGCAAATACGGTGTGCTGCTGCTGTACTTACTGTTAGCACATTTGTGGATTATTTGATTTGATTAGTCTCCATTTATGAGAGCAGTTTGCATGCTAAGCACTTGTTTCCTGTTGTTGTTGTTGTTGTTGTTGTTGCTGATGTGTCACGGTATCTGCATTCCCACGCTGCACCGAGTCTGTGGGCCGTGTGAGTGGAATATTAACGCGCGTTTCTCTTTCAGTACCTTCAGCAGGAATGACTCGCTTGGCTCGCTCACGCACCACCTCCTCTTCCAGCATCACCTCCATGGACAACAGTCGCAGCCGCAGCAACGTCAACAGCCTGCTGGAGGGCGGCACCACCGGGAGCCTGGACAGCAAGGCCGGGCCCCAGACCATGGAGGTCTCCTGCTAAGCCCCCAATCCGCCCCCACCTCGCACTCTCCCATAGTAACTTATGTCCCTTCTCCACGTCTCTCTAACTTTCTCTCTCTCTCATCCTAAGCAGCTCAATGCTAGGAAGATCTATAATGATCTATGTGATTAGAAAGGAGGATGTAATAAATATATTAACAGATCCATATTATAAAATATTGTATTAAATACACTGTCAAACTCACATTCCTATCAGAAACCATAACTCCATTCAGATGTGTTGTATATTCAAAAACCATATGATTGACCATATGACTCAGCTGTCCAGTCCTGTATTTATTTTTTTTCACATTGTCGTTGTTTCAAATGTCTTCACACAGTGTAGAAATCAAAGTAACTGTTTGTTTTTAACTCCTAACATCGATTGTAAATCATGATTGTGTGTCTTTATTGTCAAACTAGCTGCAATGCAAATTAGATACAACGCACAGCAGGAGATCACTTAATATTTGCAGAAATAAAGCTGCATAGAAAGTGATGTGGATGATGCGTGCAAGTAGCATTGCATACTGTAGCACACTGTAAGTCCAGCTAAGTTAAATGTAGAGCTGCTCTTGAACTTTCAGTTGTGTTTCACTTCAAGTAATTTGACTTTGTTTGGTTTTTTAACTCAACCCAGCATTTCATTTTCCCTTCTGCTTTGTGTTGATGTTTTTTTAATTTGCTTTTTTTCCCCTTTTTTTGATGTTGTTCAGTTGACTAGTATATTCATTGTTGTTTTAACAACCTTCAACAAGTGGGATCTGATGTGAAAAGTATGAGTCCCTTCCATCAGGGGCCATGTGGTGCTTCTCACTGTCTGCTGATTAGCTCATTTATATTACTACTGAATAAAGATACGAGAACGTGTCTTGTTTTTATTTGTCAGTGCTTTTACCAATAATTCTGCTAAACCAACGGCTTGTGAACAAGCGTGCAACCTAATCGAATGAATGACAGAAAGAGCGCGTCTGCGAGCAGAGCGTTCTCATACATCGGCTCTCCCGTTAGTGGAAAAAGTGCGGTGGCTGTGGTGAGTGAGTTTCCAACCGCTCTTGTTTCTTATTTTGTTTCTGAGAGATAACTTCTGCTGTCACAGACGAGGTGGTCTATATTTAGCACATGTTACAAAAACAATGATCAGCTGCTCTGTAAATAAGATGATGATTTCTGAAAACAAAGCAGAATGGGAAAATAGTGTTAATATGCTAATCAGAACACACACTGAGGACCTGCTTACTGTAATGATTGTGGGAGCTCTGTTGCTAATTATTAATTGCCCTTACTTGATGGAGCTTTCCGAGCATTTTTGCATAGAATATAATGTGATGACATGCATAAACCCCATTATGACGAATGCCCTGTTTTTGTCGACATCTGTGGTGCATTTACTGAGGTTGTACTCGGAGAAGCTGAGGCGGGCTGATCATTGCATAATTTTTTTTACACGAGTTGACTAAAACACAGGAAATATGCACTATTTAGTGACCCTTTTTCAGTTTCTATTTGAGAAAGATGTACATCAGTGGTTTGGAATGAGTTAATCTCAGATATTTTTTTTTTTAAAAGAGCACAAAGTTCTTTCCATCTGTGCTAACAGGCTGTTCTGGTGATTCAGCACCAATCTGATCTGTTCTTGCTGTATTGTTTCCGTGCAGGGTACACTTGCTCATTTGCGTCTGAAGCAGCTCAGAGTACATCTGATTAAGACACAGAACAAGGAGATATGACAGTTTTATCTTGGTTTTATTAATATTTCCAAGAACGACTGGTTTGGTTTGTGTTTTTTCAACAGAGACATGTTTTTCTTTCCTACCCTCCCATGGTTTCATAAGCAGTAGAGCTACACAGTTACAGAATTCGTGACAATTTAAAAAAAAATAATAATCTGGATTGCCTTTCACCTTTTCACACTTACATGTATAAAAGAGCAGGACCCCACTGGTGGGCTGTTTCTGCATTGTCACTGTGGTGGATGGATGAGAAATCATGGCACGTGTGGGTTGGCAGTGGAACTGCCTGATTCTGCAGAAGTTTGTCTTTTATCTCACAGCAACAACTGGAATCTTAACATGATGGATAATAATGTAAAGAGCGAAAACATCTCCACGGTTTTCCCTTTTCTGCACATTTCAAAATGCAGAAATTCAGATAGTTTGTCCAGTATAAGCTTATTTTACATTAACTGTCACTGTAAACTGATGACACCTCTTCAACCCACAATGCGCCACAGGGTTCATGTACATGGGGATGACAAATTTCACTGACGTACACGTTCATTCCATAAACAAGCGCACAATTGGTGCCTCTTCAAAACAGCCTGCATCAGAGAAATCAACTTGAGGTAGTTTATGTCACTGTTGAGCGTCACAGGAAGTTGCAGTTAAGCCGCATGTATAAAAGCCAGGCAGGAAGCTTCCTCTCTTCAGTGAGCCCACGCGATAAACAGCTGCGCAAACACAGCAGTCTTCGTGGTAACTGATCAGAGCAAGGAACACACTGAATGAGCAGCGTGCCTGAGTAGGAACTTGAGCTTATACATGTACTACACGTTACCCAAGCAACATTGGATGTGCTGAAGGCCGAAGAGCATTTTTCACTGGGAAGACTTGGATTTGATTTGTTATCGTGAAAGGAGTCTAACTAATTGAGCGGAATATATTTTCTGGAGGGACATTTTTCATCCAAGAATTGAAAAAGGTGAGAATATGCTTTTCTTTCTTACCATTTCCCCCCTTTTGTTCCAGGACTTCACTTTCACAACGAGGAAATTATGCTTAAATTTCCTTTGAATTTTTGTCGCTGAGTGATGATCATGCACTGCAAAGAAATGGAGTGGTTAGTTACGGTGTTTTAGTTTGAGATATGTTCCTGCCTTGCTGCTACCGCAGAAGTAAAATCTCATCTCACTTTGCATTTGAGAAACTGATCATAGTTCTCACCTAAGTATTGCATTGGAAATTTAACACAGGATATCATACCTCTTGTTGTGGTTAGGTGCCTTCCTGTATTCTGGTTTTGTTGCCCGGATTCAGATGTCCTAAAAAAATATCCTGCACCTCTAAGTAGCTTTACAGATACCACAATGCCAATGCATGAACTACATTTGCAGTTCAATTATGAATTTGTGCTACTAAAGGCGATTTCATAATAATGCTATATTTTTTTCCCCCCTAGCAGCAGTAGACATTTCAAATTAGCAAGAAAACCACAGACAATGGGGACCTGCCTCACCAGATGCCAATCCAACCTGACAGTCTTTGAAAACCCAGATGAGTCAATGGGTAGGTTTAATCCCAGGACAGAAATATGTGTGTGTATGTATGTGTATATATATATATATATATATATATATGTATGTATAATTAGCCAAAGGCAAGATTAAAATCAAATATCTCTTCCTTTCTATCTGTGCAGAGAGCCCAGAAACCGTGATTGTGTCTCTTGTTGATTACCCATCATTTGGAGAAACACAACTGACCATGTGCATTGGGGAAAGACTGACCATGACATCAGAGTATGTATTACTGCTCTTAATGTTTCAGTTTTAAAGTTCAGCTACAATTAGTGATGAGTGTCATTTATTTATTTCTGTATTTATTTTAACTCACAGTGACGGGGACTTCATAATGGTGAGATCCACAACGACAGGCCGGGAGAGCTACGTCCCTATCGAGTACACGGCCAGAGTTACTGACAGGTACAGACACAAGGACCGCGTTAGCAGATTTGTCACATTTTTCTGTGCGTGACAAAAGTCGGAGGAGTTGAAATGAAAGGGGAGGCGGGGAGTTCCCTGAGAGGTGGGAGGGGTCCCTGTGTAGGTGAACTTTTACCTCAGTGGAGACAAATGTTTGGAACAGAGCTTTTCTTTTTCGGTGACATGATCAGCTCCTCCCTCCTGCAGTTTCAGTCCTCCTCCAGTGGTGAATGTGCTCTGATGTTGTTCCACTGGATTTTTCCTAACAGTAAAATATGACATTGTCCTCTCATCTTACTGTTCTGAATGTGCATTTTTTTAAATTATTATTATGCAGGTGGCTGTTCAAAGGCATCAGCAGGTACAAAGCAGTGGAGCTGCTCATGCGTCCTAATAACCAGAATGGAGCCTTCTTGATTCGAGAGTCAGAGACAAGCAGAGGTTAGAGGTTTTTATTGTTTTTTGTTTTTTATTCCCCCTTTGTTAATTGTTAGATTTATCATTACCATTCAGTCCGAGGCCAACGTCATGCTAGGAACCCTGAAATTTCTTCATTTGAAGTTGCATTTCCCCTTAGCCTAGCTTTGCTGGGGAGGAGTATTTCCTACCCAGTTATTTTCATTTTCATTTCTTCTGTACTTCTAAAAGTGGTGATGGCTTGTTACACTTATTAAGTATGTTTAAAGGATTGTTATTGTTCATGTATATGAATTTATTTATTTATGGAGTATTCATCATCAGACATTGAATCCAGTATAATAATTTCCTTAAGCAAAATCGCCCTTAAACTGCTATTTCTATTTCTACTGAAGGCACAGCTATTTACAGACTATACTGTAAAGCTCAGTAGAAATATTTAGTTTGCTTCAGAAACAACTGGAACTATGGTTAACAACTAAGACTGGCATATTTTATTAATTCCTGCATCTGTGTGTTATTTCTTTATTTAGATTCCTACTCGCTATCTATCCTGAGGAGAACCAGCTCTTCGCACCAGGACTGTGTGAAGCACTACCGCATTTCTACCCTTCCGAATGGATGGGTCTACATATCTCCAAGCCTGACTTTCTCCACCCTGCATTGCATGGTGGAACACTATTCAGGTTCGTATTAATGTTGAGACTATTTTGCTTTAACACTAAAGCCCTTGAAAAGATCGATGCTAAAATGTTGCCTTCTTTTGCAGAGACCACAGATGGATTGTGCTGTCGGCTGGCAATGCCTTGCTTCATCCAGGGTTTAGACAATGCTGAAGAGGCCCGGCCTATTCCAATAACGACCAGGAGGCCCACCATCAAATGGAAGGAAATCAGCAGGTGTGGCTCGCTCTAGATTTACTTGTACTGATGTCTTCCATAAGATGTCACTCTGACTCATTTTTCAGCGCTGTCTTTCCTAGATTAGCATCAAGATCTGCCTTTTCCTTTTATGTTGACAGTCTGTTAGAAAGATAATGATTCAGCACTGCAGTAATGTACTGAATAAACTGGTGTGAAGAGTGTGTAAACAACACCGGCAGACATGCCAACAGATAGGCCTGTGGTTACAGTGGGTACGTGCCAGTTGTGAATGTGTGGAGCCTGCAAATGTAGAGCAGGATGTGCAGGTTGAAACGGCAGTCTCCAACGGATTCAGTTACCACATCACTTTCCTCACTGAAGTCTCAAATTCTTCTTTGTCCCCTCCAGATCGGTGATCTTAAAGAGGAAGAGGACAGTGTCAGACCACTCTCTGGTGAGCGAGGGGCTCAGGGAGGCTATTTACTCCTACCTCCAAATGACCGAGGCCAGCGAAAACAGCTGCTGGGACACTTGAGGAAAGACTGCAGAGTGAGACTCTGCAATTCATCGGCTGCGGCTTGGGGATCCCACTGGAAGAGGCCGTCTACACGCCCAAGTGCAGTCTTTAGAGACTGCCCTGGAATAGCGAGAGGGCTGAGACACTACGTTGTGTGGAGATATGCAGTACTGCAAACTATATGAGCTGGAGGACTGCTTTTGTGGATGTGTGTCCAAAGAGGCATACAGAGGAGCTTTGAGAAATGTGTTCTCATTTGGCTCCGAAACATTGAATGTATCTTTTAATTTATAAACTAATGTGTACTTGCAGGTTGAATGTCATATTATGTGTTAATATTATTGGAATATGATTGTTATCATGGTTGTGTCATTGGAATCCAATAAAAATATATAATTTATGTAACACATGTGCAGATTCTGTGAAATAACCAAACAACTTCGAGGGGAACATGCTAAAGTCCATTTGCTATGCTATTCCATAAAAAAATGAAAAACATGCTCTTGTACTGACACATGCATAGCCACACACGTATAGTACACTCATAGAGACATGTAGCCACAGCTTTAAAAGTGCAAAGACATCCGTGTTAGACTGCAGAGGCAAAGCAAGAGAAACACTTTCTCTGGGTGCCGAAGTGGATCACTGAATTCACGATACACTTGCTATCAGCACACAATATCCTCAACACTTTTCCATTCGTTTTGCAGTTTTCGAGTTTTGAAAACAAGCTGCACAAACCGATGAATGACTTATGTTTTTTTAGTCGTGCTGGTTACCATTGCCGCAAAAACACGAAACTACTGTGAAACGAATACTTGTACCGAGCTTGCACTGCAACAACTCATCTTTTAAGTACGTACGTTTAAGATTAATTAACGTAAGTTCAAGGTAGTTCAAGTGTCCGTAGAATTCAGCCGCCGCCGATAACGCCTACGCTTGTGTGCAATATATAAAAAATATAAGAACGCAAAAATAATTATGGCAGGCCTGAATTTCTTTTTAATTATTATTTTTTAATTTGTTTATATATCGCGGTATATATGTATAAGAACGTAATTACCAAACGCACAAGCTCGTAGAGTCTGCTTCTCTGCCAGCAGATGCCGCTTAATTACCTCAAATAATTCATCAAAGCCTTTCACTTCCTGCCCAAACAGTTCAGTTCAGGAAGAAGAAATAATGGCGACGCTTCTGGGGTGCGAGTCCCCTTGTACGAGAGGAAAACGAAGAAACTACAGTAGCAATATCATCACGAAGTTCACGGCCACTAAAATCACCGGCCAGGGCTTCAGTCGAGGAACACAGGTGGGAGAAACGACATTTGTTTTGACTGTTAAACCACTCGAAAGTTGATCGACTGAGACCAGGGACTTGCGCTTGGAATCGAGCCTGAAAGGAAGACGTTGTCCGAGAGACCTAGCTGGAGCTGTAGTCGCTCCTGTCAGCTCGGGCTTGACTAACAGGCTAAACATAACTGGGTGTGATTTTTCTTTGGCAATTTTAAACTATGATACAACCTATTGCCAGGAAACATGTTTTTGCTCGCTGACAATCCAAATGACGCTGTCACTTCTACAAGTGTATGAGAAAAGCTCCGTTGAAGTGGCTCTTTTGTTGTTAGCTTTACATTAGCTTAGCATTGGAGGCCAGGTTTTGTACGATATAAAACATTTTAAAGTCGGTTGTCTTCGGACTGTTCTTATGGCCGTTGACTATAATAATGTAAATATTTATACAGCGCCCCTCACTTTATTTTCTAAATACTGTAATCTTGGTATAAACGACAGTAAGATTTGCTAATGGTAGTGAAGGAGCTAGCGACAGCTAACTAGCTAAGCCAGCAGAATAGCTCAGGTGATTACGTAACAGCACTAACCACAATAACTATCGTTTCCATAAATGGGTACGCCACAACAGCTGTTAAGGTATGTTAACGTTCGCAGGTTTATTTTTGTGCCATTTACACGATATTTCTAAGTGTGAAGGGTTGGTTTTTGATTTAATGCTAGCGACAGCTTACGCCAACTGTTTAGATTTTCACGTATCTTCGTGCATACGAATGTCGCAGCTCTCCGGGTGTTTCCACACGTTCAACTCATGCATATCTATTATGATATTGCCCGTTTCATCCTAAAAAAAGCCGTCAAATTGTAAAGCTGATTAAACCCATTAACACCTTTTTTGTTTTCAATGCATATGTTAGTGGCGTGACTGTCACATTTCCAGCTAGCGTACTGCGTAATGACGTTTACAAAGAAGCTTTGTTCTTAAGTAGAGGTTCTAATAACGCAAGGTATTTCCAGCGTTATCTGTTAACGCCCCCGATAACCCTGAACACTTCGACTTTAAACAAGTTTTCTTAGGCCGTCCAGGGAATGTTATGAATTGCTGTAATTTGGGAAAACACAGGAGTCTTGCCAGTTCTGCTGACACATGAACAGATTTTAAGGAGGGTATGTCATGTGCTGTGGTTTGAGCGTTCAGTTGTCAGAGCAGTCCACTTGGTGTTTTAGGTTGAACTGCCTCTGAGACATGAATTAAAGCTAATTATTTGATCATTCTTCAGCTTTTTGCCCAATTTCAGCAAAGTTGGTGGAGATGGTGGAGCATGGCCAAAACAATTACCCATTAAATTTTGTTACAGATCATTTTGTTTAAAATTGCCTGAAAGGTTCTTAGGCCTTGATTGATTACTCTCTGAGTTTTTTTTTGTTTTTTTTTTCATTTCATCATCTTTAATATAAAAAAAGGGGGCAATATTAAGAATTGGTCAAATCATTTCATGTGAAAGTGACAGTAGGAAGACTGGGCTTGTTTGCTGTTTTCACAACCAGTACCTGCCCAGAGTAAACAGAGTTAAGATATCACACATTGTAATAAAGTCACTTTGTCATGCATAAATATGCTTTTTTTTAAATCTCAACTTTTTATTTCATTCTTTCTCAGTGAGACGTTTTCTGGTAACAACATTTAAAAACATGCATATTTACATTTTCTTTCGCATATTTTTAATTTGGTCAATAATGTTTTTGTGTAGATGTTCTTTTCTTCCAGGAAGTTTATATGTCACAATAAATATGTGTTTCCTGTGATCAAGGGAGGCAATGACTCTGATCTTAAGGTCTCTATGACTTTAGATTTCATAAGGTTTAAATAGAAACTCTGTTGGGGCATGTTAGCTTTTGTAGTCTATGGTATGATCAAAGGTGTGGCTTTTTTAGTTTCATTTAAAAGAAGGCTTACTACCTTGCTGTACTCATAAAATGTTTCTTTCTTTGAAAGTTGTAAACCTATTCGAATGAGAATTTTATTATTTATTTGACTGACAACACACATATTTTATGAGTATGTGTTATAGTCAATGTCACGCTGCTTTTATGTTTATTAAAGATGTAATTTTATTTAAAGGTCTAAAAGAAAATTGTATATTTTTACTATGTATAGCTGATTTCACAAAAACGTCATACAGTTTAGAATAAAGTATGAGAAGACCTTCTCACATAGCGGACAGTAAATGTCAGACTGATTTTTCACTACTGAAAGTACTATGTAGTATTGTGGTTTCTGAGCAGAATGTGCAGGACAGCATATACTCGTGGTGAATTCTCAAAACAATTACCTGTGCTATTCACAGATTGACTTAATCAAACATTACAGACTTGAAACTAGGGAGCTGGTGGGATAAAGTCTGTTTAGTGCTAATTGGATTGATTCTGACATTTGCAGTCTCATATACTGCTCCTCTAAGTAGTATCTAGTTCAGGACTGCAGTGCATGTTTGAAAAGGGCTCATGTTGCCTCTTTATGTGTTGTAGCTCCCAGGAGGCCTGCTTCAGGAGAGAGATAAACGTGCCAAGTGGAATGGCATCCCTACTCTGCTGCAGAAGCTCTATGAGAGCAGCCATCCCAACAGTGACCTCTCCCATGCCCACACCTTTCTTAAGGTATCCACATAGCACTAGTCCATCAAAGGAGGCAGTGAAATGACTGGTTTTAGCTTCTTCTTTTTTTCTTTTTTTTGCTTAGTGTTTTACTTTGAAAACTGGTGGGGAAAATAGTAATGTGACCACTGTTTTTTTGGCAGTTATTATTATCCCAGCTGTCTGTGGAGGCCATGTCCTTTGTCACAGAGGACAGGAAGACCGCTCAGGAATCCACCTTCCCCAACACGTACACTTTTGACCTCTTTGGTGGAGTTGATGTAAGTCTTACATTCTTGTGGTGTTATTGGACTGAAGCTGTTATTTCTGAAGAATAAACTCCTCCTGAGATACATGAGAAATAAAATGGTTTTCTCATTTGTCTGTGTTCATAAAGCTTCTAGTGGAAATCCTGATGAGACCTACACTAACTATGCAGAAGAAGAAACCTAAAAGTAAGTAGGACTGCCATAACATCTGTCCGCATTTCTGCGTTTTAGTTCTTAGTTTTTTTTCCTATAATCCTGAAACAGTCAGATTAATATTTGTGCTTCTGTTACAACAGTGAATGATGACCTGGTCAAAGACTGCCTTAGTGTTCTGTACAACTGTTGCATATGTGTAAGTACCATGTTACATATTTTTCATATAAAATATGCCGCACATATCATATTTTCCCTTCCAGTTGTTTGCCTTGATGCAGAATCATTTTTGCATAATTTAATGACCGTGTAAAATTCCTTGTTTAAATTCATAGACGGAGGGCGTCACAAAGAGTCTGGCTGCTAGGGATGACTTTGTTCTGTTTCTCTTCACCTTGATGACAAACAAGAAGACCTTTCTGCAGACTGCTACTCTTATTGAAGATATTCTTGGAGTAAAAAAGGTGTGTCAAAGTAAAGAGTTCTACTTGGATTAAGTGACAGTAGGGGGTAAATGTATTTATGGATCTCTTGACTTCACTTTAATGCATAGTTACTCAACTATTTAAAAAGGATTTTAAGCAATGGATTATAATCATGTGTTAGCCATGCGACAGACTGGCGACCAGTACAGGGTGGACTCTGGCAAAAGCTCCAGTTACTTAATTATCCATAACTAAGCCAGCTATCTGTCAGAGCACTGTGGAGATTATAAAATGCGACTGATTTAATTTTATTCTGTGTGCTCCTGATGGTTTAGACATCTCTCTCACTTCACTTAGCAGCTTTCCTTAATCTTTTTACTAATTATGACAGATAAACCTTTGGTCCATGAAAATGTATAAGTCACAGTTAGCCTAGTATGTATTATTCTGATCATTTGTCAGTTTTGTAAATACAAAAGAAGTAAATATTTTCAGGTCTTACGCGTAAACTGGCATGTAGCATTTATACATATATCTGCTGGGTCAAATCAAATTTAGTCGGGGTCTGTTTCAAAAGTTACTTTTGAAAGTATTGCAATGTCTGCATTCTGTTCACATTTGATGTTTTACATCTGGTCACACCTTTCAGGAGATGATCCAGTTAGAGGGCATCCCTAACCTGTCGGGTCTGGTCCAAAGCTTTGATCAGCAACAGCTAGCCAACTTCTGTCGCATCCTTTCTGTCACAATCTCAGAACCTGATGTGGGAAATGATGACAAGCACACCCTGTTGGCCAAAAATGCACAGCAAAAACGCAATGCAAGTCCTTCACGTGCAGAGGTCAACCAGGGTAGGTTGTCTTCAGAGTTCAAAGATTTATTGGCTGTGTAATTTATTTTGTACAATAGCAAGAGTGCATTTGACTGCGTTTGTTTACCCTGTTTCTGACACTTGTAACAAGAAATGTCATTAAACTGAACTAACAGGCATTGTTTTCCAACAGTAACCCTGCTGAGCATCCCAGGATTCATTGAGCGGCTTTGTAAGTTGGCCACTAGAAAGGTATCTGAAGCCACAGGTGCTAACTTCCTGCAGGAGCTGGAGGACTGGTACACATGGCTGGATAATGCTCTGGTACTGGATGCTCTCATGCAGATGGCCACTGAGGAACCTGAGCAAAGCAGTACAGGTGAGGAAAAAGGCATTTATGATACTGCTAACTCATGGTTGCATTTCCATGAACTTTTAATAATACATTTGGACATGTTTTTTTGTTTTTCTGTTGTTTTTTTTCTCTCCTCACCTACAGAGTCGTCAGATGAGAGTTCTCTGGCTACCAGCCCTCTGAGACATCGACTGCCCCAGTCCATGAAGATTGTCCATGAGATTATGTATAAAGTAGAAGTACTGTATGTGCTCTGTGTTCTTCTGATGGGCCGTCAAAGGAATCAGGTACTCTTCCCCACCATTAGAGCTGAGCTTGAATTTTTTGTCTGAACAGAGTTAAATTGTTTTTTCCCCCCCTGTAACTCCTCTCAGGTTCACAAGATGCTGGCTGAGTTTCGTCTCATCCCAGGGCTCAACAACCTGTTCGACAAGCTCATCTGGAGGAAATATACAGTTTCGAATCACGTGGTGCATGGCCAGAATGAGAACTGTGACTGTAGTCCAGTATGAAATTTCAATTCAGTAGTCCTAAACTCATCATTACAATTACATATCACTTTTTAAAATATGGAGGGTGAACACTCTTTATTCCTGTCACACAGGAGATATCCTTCAAAATCCAATTCTTGCGATTACTTCAGAGTTTCAGTGATCATCACGAGTAAGCAGCGTTTTTTTTATTTTTTATTTTATTTTTTTAAACTTTTAACCTTAAATGAAATATCAAATCTTGATTTACCTTTTCAATATGTTCCCTATCTTTCAGGAACAAGTACCTCCTTCTAAATAGCCAGGAGTTGAATGAACTGAGTGCCATTTCCATGAAGGCTAATATCCCAGAGGTGGAAGCTCTTGTCAATACAGATAGAAGCCTCGTGTGTGATGGGAAGAAGGGCCTCCTCACACGTCTCCTGACTGTCATGAAGAGGGAGCCTCCAGACTCGTCTTTCAGGTAAGTGTTATGTAGGCCAAAGACGGAGATAATGCAGATTATATAGTCAGCCATCTCTTTAAAAGTCTGACATGCACATATTGGAGAATCAGAGATTGTGCCATTTAAATGACTGCTCGGGGCTTCTCTGTGTAGTTTGCTTTAGCTGATTGTTTCTCTTGGGTGTTTATATATAGATTCTGGCAGGCAAGGGCAGTGGAAAGTTTCCTCAGAGGTGCCACATCCTATGCAGACCAAATGTTCCTTCTGAAGAGGGGCCTACTAGAAGTAAGATAAATGTTACCACCCATGTACAGAGATCTTTCTTCTCCTTTAGTGAATCGGTGTTCACTTTCCATTTTCATTCCTCGACAGCACATCCTGTTCTGCATCATAGACAGTGGTTGTACATCTCGCGATGTCCTTCAGAGTTACTTCGATCTGCTTGGTGAGCTCATGAAGTTCAACATTGATGCTTTCAAGAGATTCAACAAATATGTCAACACTCCAGAAAAGGTATGATGATAGATCCTAGTATTTATTAAGAATATATATACTGGCTGAAAAAGATCTTACTGCATTGTTGCTAATGGTTTTTTCTTTTCTTTTTTAGTTTCAGATGTTTTTAACACAGATCAACAGCTCCCTCGTGGATTCAAACATGCTAGTACGCTGCATCGTTCTTTCATTGGACCGCTTTGAGAGCCAGACTGAAGATGTCAAAGGTAAATGGAAATTTGATGGTTGTAAACTGGTGTTTATAGAATATTTAAGGCAGAACTTAATATGAGCATTTTCTTTTTATTTATTTTTTCTTTTTGTTTTGTTTGGATCTTTGGGACTTTAATGTGCTTAAAGAATACATAAAATTAATGATTGCTGACAAAATCTAAAAGAAAGCAAAGAGTTTGAAGTGGAATTGATAGCTGATGAAACAATGTGCGCCAGAAGTGAGAGTACATTGATACATTTATTTGATTTATTACGTTGTTTTTTTTTTTTCCCTCCACTTTACAAACATGTTTTGTGTTCTTTGTTGTTTCCCAGTGGTGGAGGTACTTTCTGAGTGCTGCTTGCTATCGTACATGGCCAGAGTTGAGAACAGGCTGTCGTTCCTTTTCCGACTGGTCAACATCATCAATGTACAGACACTCACACAGGTCTGGGTTCATTTACACCTTGCCACATGTTTTCATAGAAGATCATGGTGATTATTTAGCAAAAAAGTCTGTTTAAAAGTAAACTGTAAGTCAGTTCAGAGACATTTGGCATTTAACATTTTTTAATTATAACTGAGGTCTGTTTCTCTACAGGAGAATGTCAGCTGTTTAAACACCAGTTTGGTGATTTTGATGTTGGCCAGAAGAAAGGCTAAACTGCCCTTCTACCTCAACGCCCTTCGTGAGAAGGAGTATGCTGAGAAGTACCCGGGCTGCCTGCTTAACAACTTTCACAACCTACTGCGATTCTGGCAGCGCCACTACCTCAATAAGGACAAAGACAGCACTTGTCTGGAGAATGTGAGTAGCTGAACGTACAAACACTCAACCAGGTCCAACATCACAGGCAGGAAGCAAGAATCTCTTCACTTATATTAAGTGGCATTTGTGTTACGCATTCAAAACATTCCACAGTATAAAGGTTTGCAAGCACAGTGATAAAACCAAGACTGTGATTGCTGTGCTGCAGCACTTGTAAATTGTAGAGGTGCATAGAAGTTCTTTCAGATTAGATATTGTCTTTCATTTTTGTGAAGAACTTCTGTAAGTCAGGGACTTTCCATACAAGAACTGAAATACCCACGCCACACCACCACAACTAAAAACCTGCCCTTCTAAAAAATAGTTTCTTTCTGCTGAATGTTTAAGTGCCACATATCATCTGCAGCAGTAGCCACCACCAGTCAGGAATCCCTGTTAAATCCACCTGCCTATCACCAAACAGCAGACAGATAAATTTGGTGTCGAGCATTAACATCCAGGTTTTTCCATCAGGGGTTAAATAAAACTAGAGTAAAAGAAGAAAATGTATGTGCTCTTTGTGTTCTCCACTCAAACTGTGATTAATTAATTGGAGGTAAACAAATATAAAATTCTGTAATGTAAGTAGATCTAAAACATTTGACTGCCCTATGAAATTATCAACTTTATGAGCAACATTTACTCATTAGTGGGACTTAATGCTGAAGATGGTGCAACACATTTTGCTTTGATGGGAGGGAGATTGAGGGCTCGGTCCCTTTCACAAGCAACAATGTGACTAACAGATGTTTGGAAATAACGTTACAAAATAGCAAAATGGTCATTGAGCTCAAAGTAAAACAATCTAGAAGTTCTATCTGAGGAATTCTGTAAAACCCAGACTTCTTACTGTTTTCTGAAGCCATTTTCTTTCATTTGTAAAAGAACATGTAAAGATGTTTCTTAATGTCCCACTCACTGTCAGCATAACAGTTTTACAAGGTGATGTCAATGTGTTTGTTTTGCTTGCTCTGCTGCCACCAAGTGGCAGATGTCTCCAACTTGGCTGCTACAATTTTCCATTAGATTTGCACTGTCCAACCTAATTACACTGTTGACTGCCACAGGTTAATGACTTTGACACATACCAACTTACTGTAGTCTTCAGTACCCATCAAATTTAAACACTATAAACGTATAGGGTACACAGACACTGCTTAACACAAGAAGTGCTTCCTGTGGGAAATACTTCTATAAATGGGGTCAGAGATTTTAGTTGGCATTTGATGCTTTGCCATTGGTTTAATTTGGAAGGGAAACATTTAATTAGTGGTGGACAGTTTGATCAGGTCATGTAGTGACAGAGTAAAGGATATTAGCGCATAATCCCTCATTACAGGGATGTATGCACTTTTTGTAATTCTTTGGTGTAGAGAGATGGGTTTTTTTTTTGGGGGGGGCAGAGCTTATTATGAAAGAACTAATTTCATAAGTTCAAAATGATTTAATGCTTGCGTCAGGAGAACAGTGCCGATCCAAACGTTTGACCCTACAACAAGGTGATTTTTGAAGCTCTGCGGTGTTGTGTAGGGTGTTTTGCATTTTCAGTGGTTTCATGTTTAAACGATGCCAATTATGATTTGTGGTGTTAGTCACCAGATCTCAGCATCATTGATTACCTCTATTTCTATTTTATTAAGGTCTTTGAATCTCAGTTATCAAAACACAAAATTAGGGAAAACTTTTAGCCTAGATAAACAAGTCTTAAGTCTGTTCTCGTGGCAATTAGTGGCATTATAACAAGACTATTATTTATTTATTTTATTTATTTTTAAGTATTATTATTTTTGAACACTCATCTGTAAGTGTTAACATTGATCCAAGAGACATCTAGCTAACCTATTCTGTACTTACCTATAGTTATAGAATATTCACAACATACTTCATACCGTGTACATTATGACATACCATAATAGACCCATTTCTGTAATATACTTACATATCTATATTATTGCTAATATATATTGTAATATATCTATATCACTAAAGCACTTCTGGATGGATGCAAACTGCATTTCGTTGCCCTGTGCATGTGCAATGACAATAAAGTTGAATTCTATTCTATTCTATTCTATTTATCTGTTCATACAAACCAGTAAAAGTCCTTTTACTGGTTTTTACTCTTTTTATGTAAAAGGCTACTTTTACATAAAAATAACTAATTATAACTATTATTATAGCTATAGCTGGGATACCTTTTAGCTGTGGGTTTTTTTTGTTTTTGTTTTTTTGTTTTGTTTTTGTTTTTGTTCTTATTCATCTTGGTTTTCCCTTTTTCAGAGCTCCTGTATCCCATTCAGCTACTGGAAGGAGACTGTATCAGTGCTGCTGGGTTCAGACAGGACTTCTCTGTGTGCCATAGCGAGCTACATCGATGAACCATTCATGGATCTGGACAGAGATCTGCTGGAAGATTGACCTCCAGTGTGTGCACTTAGTGCACTGGGGATGGGATGGGGCAGATGGCCACATGGAGCATGGACACCTAAAGCTGGCAATGACCCCGCTGAGCTGAGCCGTCCGGCTGCTTAGGAACTGTGTTCTGGATGTAAAAACTCACCTGTTTGCTGTCTACACCTTCGCATGGAGGCTGTCATCACAGATTTCAGCAAATAGGAGTTTTCCTGGCCATCGTCTTCTCACTGAGTTAAATCCGCTTTTCAAGAGAAAGAAGAGGAAAACCTGTATGCCCACCCCAGATTGGCCACATGGTAACAGACAATTAAACAACCTTCAAAAAAATGACATCTGCATTGGTTGTTTGCTTTAGGTGAAATTTAAAATAAAACTTTTTATATAACCTAGAAAGTTCTATGATAAATATGTATGATTCAACAAGTTATGTTAGGAAAAAAATGGACTTGGTTTGGAAATTACCGCAGCTTGAACTTTCACGTGCAGGTTAGTGGTGTGTCACAGGGCTGCCAGGAGTCACCAGCCTCACTCTCGCACTAACTTCATGCTCTCTGTTGACTCCATGTCACTCCACTGCCTGAGCTTGGAGGAAAATGGCTTTTTACTTTCCCCCCCTTCTCCCCCCCTTATGAGTCCTCTAAAAAGAGAATTTTCAATGAACCCGTCTGTCTATTTTATTAGGTGGCTATTGTTCATTGGTGCTTTCTGGCTCCACTCAGCACATTTCGGTAGCTTGAGGGTGTGCTGGCATTTTCCACATATCACATGGGGTACCTCTCATCTAAAAACCACCCTTCAGTTATGGCTTCAGAAGCCCCACCCAGGGACTCATTAATATTATTATTATTTTTCCAAGATTATTTTTCTTGACTTATATTTTGTGTTGTTAAAACGGTGGCTTTTAGCTCTGGATAAATTGTAGAATAAAATATTGCACATTTGTTTTTATTGTTTATATTTTAACCCATTTGTTAAAACAAATCTTCATTATGTAACAGAAGCTTTTGTGAGAAAATGCTTTGGGAAGAGAATAAACTATGCAGGTGTAAGTGTTAAAATAAGAGTTTTTGTTCACCCCATACCCAAAGTTTGCTTTATGCGAATTAGCTTTCAACCCAACATCAGCATTTGATTGGAAATCCTCCACTTTCTCTGGTATCTGGCATTTCGTGAAACCTTCAAGCTGAGAATGACAATCTTCTTGGTGGCTCCTTCTGCATAGCTCAGCTTTAGTTTAAACGATGAGCGTGGCTGTGTTAAAGTTGTCCACAGCCTGAATGTGCTCCTGTTTTGTTGAAATGGAAGATGCAGAGCTAAAAAGATTTGGGTGTGTCCAGTCAAACAAGTACAAGTGAATCAGCTACCTCATGTTTTATCCCAACGCCGTACAGATCAAACCACTCCTAATCACAAGTGTACAGATTTAATCCCAGCACGTTGTGTTCACGTGAATGTATGAGGGCATTTCCGACACCACGAGTTGTGCTTTTTTTGCCTTGAGATGCAAGTGAACATGTCAATTTTTTATTTTTTTGAAGCCTTCTATTTGCTTTAAAGCTTCTTAAGGTTCTCCTATTTTTTAGCTTTTAGCATGTCTTAAAACTCTTGACTGGTGTGCGCAAACTTTAAATGACTTCATCTTCTGTGCTTTGCAGTGAAAGTAACGCAAGTACCCGTAAGTGCTTCTTTTTCGAGTTCTCCATTTCTTTGTTGGATGCCCAAGAATATTTACAACGGTGTTCTTCAGGACAGATTGTTTATTACGCTGTTATCGCTTCAGCCGTTGGTGGTAGAAGTCGGACGAAGCTGTTGGTATGAAAGCATGAATGGTGTGAGCTCTTTGGAATACCTGTATAAACATTTTCTTCGCCCTAGTTTCCGTAGCTTTGTGATGAGTTTCTGAGAGTGACCCTTCTGTATGATGCACAAGAGAACTGGTTCTCTATAGTAATGCTGTATGTGGTGTGATCCACCCAGTAGGCCTTAGTTTTCATTCATTAGTTTGTACAGAAAAAAATGGTGAAATGTTATCCTCTTTGGCCAAAAACATGCTGCATAATATAACACACTATTTGACTTATTTTAGACCCCTGACTTTGACTTTAACTGTACATTTTATGTAATGTTTAGCATGAGGGGGACGGTCATAAAAAGCCCTAAACACACTTTTACAACTGATTATATGGTGCTTTTTTTTTTTTTTTGGGGTGGGAGGGAGTGAAGGAAGATGATTGTATCTCACTAGGATTGACGGCATCTATGGGGTTTGCGACAAACGGCATTTCAAAGATGCTGACAGTGAGTAATGTCGTGTACAATCTGTCGTAAAACGGCTTTAGGAAATTATACATCTATTTTTCATCTTTATGATTAATCTCTGACTAACCCTGTTCAACTCACAAAATCTGTTCCACATTCTAATAAACACTTCGGTAACAAACTTGCCCTCATGCTCCTGCTCTAATGCTGGTATTCAAGTTTAATTTCCTTATTTAACAGCTGTTTGTCAAATTAATCATATAATAAATTCTTCTTTAGACTGTCTTTGTTGAATCGCATCTCTCTATCACATTGACACACACACACACACACACAAAAGACACGTTTAAAGGTTTAAAAGTCTTTATTTGGAGGGTGCGCCATCACAGTCGGTGCACAGCTGTTGCAGCTGGCTGACTGTCGTAGGTTTGAGGGCAGCTTTCTTCCATCACTCGGCCAGCTGAAAAGCACGAGACAGTGATGTTTGTTAGCAACAACATACACAGTGTCAGAGTTACTCATAACCGTGCTACAGATCACATGAGAGGGCTAAAGTGAGTTCATCTTTAACAGAGGATTACCTCTAGTCTCTTCTAAAATTAGTCCATGCTACGGCGCCCGCTGGCTAATTTTAAAATATTCTTCCAAAGGTCATACAATTCCATTCTGCAGTGAGCTGTAACAAGAAATGCATTGTGGGTTGTTTACCGACCTTGGTGCCTTGATCCCGGGTGCGGGTCCGCAGCTTGTTGACCTGCGATTCAGCCATATCGGCCCTCTCCTCTGCATCGTCAAGCTCATGCTGGAGTTTCCTGTACTTGGACATGTTGGTGTTCACCTGATCTTCCTGCGTAAAAGAAAACCAAGAAAAATATTCAATTTACACCAAACTAAAAGATCTTTGAGTATTATATAGATATTTTCAGTCTGGTGGCGCACAGAAAAGCTCAGAAATTTGTAGTTTAAACAACATCACTTAGAATCATCGCTTCGATTACAGCTTTCATTTACTGTCAAACAGAAAACTCACCGCTTCTTCGGCCTGTCTCTTGTAACTCTTTACTTTGGCTTGCAGCTTGTCGATGAGGTCTTGCAGGCGGACCAGATTCTTCTTGTCCTCCTCGACCTGCAGAGAAACAGAGGTAGGTCTTACTTCTTATTTGCACACCTCTGCATGCTCCGTGTGCACACGCAGTGAGTTACCTGGTAGGAGAGCTCTTTGATTCTCCTTTCATACTTGCGCACTCCCTTCTGATACTCTTGGCTCTTCTTTTGCTCAGACTCAAATTCGTTCTCCAGTTCTTTGACCTACCATTGCAATAAGCAAATGACTAAAACTCACTCCAAAGTAAAGCACGTGGACGAGAGACTATGTAAATATGCAGTTGACTGATGTGATTTCCTACTCTGGCCTCCAGCTTCTGAACTTGCTTCTTTCCACCCTTGAGGGCAATCTGCTCAGCCTCGTTCAGACGCATCTGCAGGTCCTTTATGGTCTGCTCCATGTTCTTCTTCATCCTCTCCAGATGCGCACTTGTGTCCTGCTCCTTCTTCAGCTCCTCTGCCATCATGGCCGCCTACAAATGCAGAAAATCTCTGTTAAATTGGCAAATAATCTAACTTAAATGCAACCAGTCCTATGCCACAGATGTATACCGTTGCATTTGATATTTTGGTTACTGGGGCACTTACATCAGTGATTGCCTTTTTGGCTTTTTCTTCTGCATTACGGCACTCCTGTACGGCATCATCCACCTCATTCGACAGCACGGACAGATCGCCCTCCAGCTTCTTCTTCTGGTTGATCAGCCCAGTGTTCTGAAACGGAAAACTCCTTTCAACATTTAAAGTACAAGACTATAACTAGTGCTATCTTAAAAAACATCTAATATTTTCTTCCAACCTGAGAGTGCAGCAGATTGACTCTTTCAGTAGCCTCGAGCAGTTCATGTTCTGCCAGCTTGCGTGAGCGATCGTTCTGCTCCAGCATGGCCCTGAGCTCCTCCACTTCGGCGGTGAGCAGGTTGTTTCGACGCTCTGTCACTGCAACCTGCTCCTTCAGCTCCTCGTTCTTGTGGGTGGTCTCATCCAGCTCTAGCTGAGTGTCCTGGAGTCATGCGTCAGGTGGAGAAAGTCATTAGAGTGCAATGGCACATCAGGTGAGCTCACTGACTGGCTGTAGTTATGGACTCACCTTGAGCTGCACCTGTAGGTTTCTGAGGAGTTTCTGGGACTCCGAGGCCTGCCTGTTAGCGTGGTTCAACTGCACCTCCATCTCATTCAGGTCGCCTTCCATCTTCTTCCTCAGGCGCACTGCCTCGTTGCGAGACTTGGCCTCAGCATCCAAGGTAGCCTGCATAGACTCCACCGTTTTCTGGTGGTTCCGCCTGAAAAGGAGAAAAAGGCGCAAATAAAAAAAACTCCTGCAGATCAGCAAGAGTGTAATTGAGCTTTATCTAGAAAACCCACCGAAGATTGTCAATTTCTTCATCCTTCTCCGCTAGCTTCCTGTCAATATCAGCTTTTATCTGGTTAAGCTCCAGCTGGGTCCGGAGAGTTTTGCTCTCTTCGTGTTCCAGAGTAGCCTGAGACAGACAGATGGAGCATTAAGGCTTTAGGAGACTGTTCTTAAGGAATATTGCACATAAACGCAGCAAGCTGCTTACTTCAGCTTCCTCTAGTGCAGCTTGAATCTCACTTTTCTCGATGTCCAGACCCTTCTTTATCTTTTCCAGCTCGTGAATGGTTTTTCCTCCCTGACTGATTTGATCTGAAAGGTCAGCAATCTCCTCTGGTGGAGAAGATATGTGAAAGTATTATATTTAAATTTACATCAAGGGAAAACCTTTCTGTAAATTCCAGCTGAATTTTAATGATGCCATGTGTACCTTGGAGGTTCTTGTTCTCCCTTTTGATGGTCTCCAGATGTTCTAAGGTCTCCTCATAGGTGTTCTTCAGTTTAAAGAGCTCTGTGCTCAGGCCACGAGACTCTTTTTGAGAGGTCTCCAGCTCTGACTGGGACTCTTCGTACTTCTGCTTCCATTCAGCTAGCACCTGGAAGGGACAATCAAAGGTTTTCTTTGGCTTTTTATTAGTATTGCTTCTCAGAGGGTCTAGATTGAGGTGCAAAAATAGGGTGATATTCCCTAAAGAATGCAAAGATAATTCACCAAAGTAGGTCACACCCGGAATGCAGTACTGATGATGTAGGGTCCTTGTCATTGCCAGTACCTTGTCAAAGTTCCGCTGCTTTCTGTCCAGGGCAGCAGCCGCAGCATTGGCACGTTCCAGATCAATGACCAGGTCTTCGATCTCTGTCTGGAGTCGATGTTTCGTCTTCTCCAGGGAGGAGCACTTGGCATTGGAAGCTTCTACACTCTCTTCAGCCTCTTGTAGGCGTGCCACCAGCTTCTTTCTAATGAGAGGCAAACAGAACTGAAAGTTAGCTCTCAAAATAATCACGTGGCGCCATCAAATTCTGCAAGTTAAAAACCACATCACGCTCACTTGGCTTCCTCCAGCTCCTCAGTCCTCTGGATGGCATCAGTTTCATACTTTGTCCTCCACTGAGCCACCTCAGCGTTGGCTTTGGACAGAGCTCTCTGCAGGTCAGCCTTGGTCTCCTGCTCTTCATCGTACTGCTCTCTTAGGAGATCACAGTCGTGCCGAGACGATTGGAGAGCATGGGCCAAGGCGCTCTTGGCCTTAAGAGATTAGTTATGATGGTAGAAAAGGAGTTAATTTAACTGGAGGAACTCTCAACGAGTGAGCCGGTAAGTTTTGACTGATGAACTGATAAATTGGGAGCTGACCTTATTCTCCTCCTCAAGCTGTTTCTTGAGCTCCTCCACGCTCTGGCTGAAGGAGTTTTTGGCACGTTGGAGCTGGGACACCATGCCCTCTCGCTCTTCAAGCTTCCTGCCCAGCTCGGCTGCATAGTGGAGTTAAGCAGTTACAGGCATTACTTATGAGTCTATGAAATCTGTGAGATTTTTAGATCAAATTATAGCCTCTTACCACTCTCAGCCTGAGCACGGGCCTTTTGTGTGCTGGTTTCACTGAGTTGCCTCTGGAGCTCCTCCACCTTGGCTTTAGCCTCGTTCATTTGATCTTCATAGAGTCGGCACGTCTTCTCTGAAGTGGCCTGTTGAGTAGATGCAAATTCTTTGATTTCGCCACAGATATAAATGCAATTCCCGTACTAGTTTAAATCTCTATCTATACCTTGCCCCTGGAGAGCTGCTCCACAGTCGAGGCCAGGTCATCGGCCTCCATCTTGGCCTCGCTCCTCTCTTTCTCCAGTTTCTGCTTAACCCTCTGCAGGCTGTCAATCTGCTCGCTCAGCTCTGCCACGGTGTCGGCGTGCTTCTTCCGCAAAGCTGCGGTCGTGGCCTCGTGGTGCAGCATGGCTTCCTCCAGGTCCCGCCGCAGCTTCAGAAAATCCGCCTCTCTCTTCTTGTTCATCTCGATCTGGGCCGAGGTGGCTCCACCGGCCTCCTCCAGGCGCTCGCTCAGCTCCTCCAGCTCACGGGCCACGTCCCCGCGCTGCTTCTCCACTTTAGCCCTGTAAGCCCTGTCGGCCTCTAGCTCCTCTTCCAACTCCTCGATGCGAGCCTGGAGAAAAGCGACAGTCAGTTACTTTGTGATGGTGGCTCACATCTGCTCTACTAGAAGCTAAGGCTCATTTTCACCTGCAGCTCCTTTATCTTCTTCTGAAGCTGATTGGACAATACTTGCTCATCTTCTATCCTTGTGCTAATTTCATTCATTTCAAAGTCTTTTCTGTTGGGAAAATGTTCGGGAATCGTTCTTTATCATTCACTCTTTATAGTTTAAAAGATGGGTAATCTGCGATTATGGGACAATCCTCACTTTTTCAGCTTCTCTTCAAGTTGCTGTTTGTCATTCTCCAGGTCCATCACAGACTCTAAAGAGAGCTTTAGATCTCCCTCCAGCTTACGTTTGACTCGTTCCAGGTCCATACGTAGCTTTTTCTCTTGTTCCAAAGAGCCTTCCAGCTGATGAACCACAGAAAGAAAACATCTTACAATTTTGACTAAATGGTGTAACAGCACTTTGTTTCTGTGTTTAGTCTTAAACTCACATCATCTACTTGTTGCTCCAGCTTAGCCTTTGCTTTGGTCAGAGTGTTGACTTTGTCCTCCTCTGCCTGTAGGTCATCCAGAGTCTGCTGATGAGCCTCCTGAAGAGCCTTCTTCTCCTTGGTCAGCTTCAGTATGGTTTCATCCAGAGCTGCCATTTCCTCAATTAGGTTTTTCACCTGC